ATCCCCCCTAACCTTCTGCTCTCTGATGCTGAATGCTCCGTACTCAGCAAAGGCGTCAGCTTTATCCCTCTGCGTCCCCATCTTAACGAATTTCGGGCACGACATGACGCCGAACTCTTCTTCTGCCATCTTCGCCTCCGTCTCATTTCTTTGGACAAGAGTCCTCTCCCCATCCCACAGACCCCTTCGCCCAGTTCCAACACTCTCCCGCCACCTGGACTCCTCCCTCCGGCCTTTTACCTGCACTCGATCTGTTCATTGAGAATTGTCAACATGACATTAGTCACCTCAATTTCTCTGCCCCCTCACCAAATTCAACCTATCTCCCTCCGAACTGACTGCACTCCGTGCACTCAGATCTAAACCTGACTTTGTCATTAAGCCTGCCGATAAGGGTGGTGCTGTTGTAGTCTGGTGTACTGACCTCTACCTTGCAGAGGCTGAGCACCAGCTCTCAGATACCTCCTCCTAGCTTCCCCTGGACCATGACCCCACCATGGCACATCAGGCCATTGTATCCACTACGGTAACTGGTGATCCCCCACCTCCGCTTCCAAGCTAATAGTCCCCCAACCCCGCACAGCTTGTTTCTACCTCCTGCCCAGTTCTGAGGAAGGGTCACCGGACCTGAAACGTTAAATCCGTTTTTTCCTTCACAGATGCTGCCAGACCTGCTGAGCTTTTCCAGCAACTTTGGTTTTGTTCTTGGGGAATATTGTATTCAGTTCTGGGCACCTTGTTTAAGAAAGGATATTAAAGTCCTGGAGAGAATGCAAATAATAATAACGATGATCATAAAACTGTTGTTAATTGTTGAAAAAAACCATCTAGTTCAGTAATGTCCCTTACGGAAAGAAACGGCCATCCTTAACTTGGTCTGGCCTACATGTGACTCCAGACCCACAGCAATGTGGTTGACTCTTAATTGCCCTCTGGACAATTAGGGATGCGCAGTAAATGCTTGTCTAGTGTCTAGCCAGCAACGCCCTCATCCTGTGAATGATTAAAAAGAACTTATATAGGTGCTGCATTTTGGAAAGGCAATTCAGGGCAGGACTCATACACTTAATGGGGAGTGTTGCTGGACTTTGGAGTGCAGGTTCATGGTTCCCTGAAAGTGGAGTCCCAGGTAGGCAGGGTAATAAAGAAGGTGTTTGATATGCTTGCCTTTATTGGTCAGTGCATTGAGTATACAAGTTGGGAGGTCATGTTGTGGCTGTGCAGGACATTGGTTAGGCCACTTTTGGAATACTGCGTTCAATTCTGGTCTCCGTGCTATAGGAAGGATGTTGTGAAACTTGAAAGGGTTCAGGAAAGATTTACAAGGATATTGCTAAGTTTGGAGGGTTTGAGCTATAGGGAGAGGCTGAATAGGCTCAGGCTATTTTCCCTGGAGCATCATAAGCTGAGGAGTGACCTTATCGAGGTTTATAAAATCATGAGGGGCAAGAATAGGGTAAATAGCCAAGGTCTTTTCCCTGGGGTGGGTGAGTTCCAAACTAGAAGGCTTAGGTTTAAGTGAGAGGGGAAAGATTTAAAAGGGACCTATGGGGCAACATTTTCACACAGTGGGTGGTGTACGTACGGAATGAGTTGCCAAAGGAAGTCATGTAATTGTACCAGCCTTCAACATTTAAAAGGCATCTGGGATGGGCATATGAATAGGAAGGGTTTAGAAGAATATGGGCCAAATGCTGGCAAATGGGACAAGATTAATTTAGGATATCTGGTCAGCATGGACGAGTTGGACCAAAGGGTCTGTTTCTGTGCTGTACATTTCTATGATTCTATGACACTAAGAGGCCTCACCAATATCCTGTACAACCTCAATATGACTTCCCAACTCCAATACTCAAAGGACTGAGCAATGAAGGCAAGTGTGCTAAATGCCTTTTTAGCAGAACTAAAACCACAGTTACAATTGATTTTATTCTGTCATGCAACGTTGACTTAACTAGCAAGGCCACCATTTGTTACCACTTTTCAGGCAGTAGTTAAGTCAACCACATTAGGGGTCTGGAGTCACATGTAGGCAGCATATTAGGAATGGCAGATTTCCTTCCCTAAAGAACGTTGATAAACCAGATGGGTTTTTAGGGCATTTTATGACATTGCCACCATCATTGAGGTGCACAACACAGAAAGAGACAAGCTTTTTGTTCTAGATTTAATGAATTGAATCTAAATTCCATTACTAGCTTCAATGGTGGGATTTGAACTTACACCCTAGTGCGTAATCTCAGGCCTCTGTATTTTTTGTCCACTGACATTACCACTGTGCCACTATTGCCCTCACTGGTACTTTTGGAATGTTGCATCAGTTTTAGGCCTGCTGAGCTTCCAATCAGTAGGCCAGGATCTTCACATGTTCACACTATGCCCAAACGCAGGACAGTTTTCATGACAGAAACCTGTGACCTACAACTTATAAATGTCTGCCAATCCTCTGGCACTCACACAGCTGACTGGCTGCTGGAGGGCTCTTTGCTGCAATGGAGTGCTGGTTGCCAAGGTCTGCCAGTCAATCAGGGGTCATTAGTGCTACCAAGGGGTCATGGCTGCAGTCAGGGTAACATCACCTCCCCAACCACCAGCACTCCCAGGATGAGGGGAAAGGCATGTACAGTTTGGAGATTGGGGCCATGGAAAGAGGGGATCGGGAGTCATTCTAAAGAAAAGTCACTGGACCCAAAACGTTAACTCTGATTTTTCTCTGCAGATGCTGCAAGGCCTGCTGAGTTTTTCCAGCAGTTTTTGCTTTCGTTTCTGATTTCCAGCATCCGCAATTTGTTTGGTTTTATCTTATCTTATCCTTTTGAAAATTCTTACACCCCTGAATATTTCATTCCCAGCTTTGAACTGGTTGTAACCATGTCTCTCTGATGGCTATAAGATCATACCCATTAGCCTGTGTTTGTACCATAATTCATTATTTTTGTTGCAAATACTATGTGCATTCAAGTAATGAGTCATTATATTTTCCTTTTTATCATTTTTTCCTTTTTGAGCCTAGTTGTTTTCCATGTTTGTATATTCGGTCCCTTCCTTCTCCACTCTGGGTATTGTTATTCAAATAGCTGACTTGTAATGCTGCCATATCCTCTTGCTTTGGGAGCCTTAATTTAGCAGAGATATTAAGACATTCTATGGATATTTTAAAAACAAATGTGTTAACAAATTGAAACAGAGTCTGGGAAATTGCTAACGGAAAATAACAATATGGCAGATGATTTCAACCAGCAGTTTGTATAGCTGTTCACTTATATAGTATCATTCTTCACTATCCTAGCTATCTGCGACTCCACTTTCAAAGAACTATGAACCTGCACTCTAAGGTCTCTTTGTTCAGCAACACTCCCCAGGACCTTTCCATTAAGTGTATAAGTCTTGCCCTGATTTGCCTTTCCACAATGCAGCACCTTACATTTATCTGAATTAAACTCCATCTGCAACTCTTCAGTCCATTGGCCCATCTGATCAAGATCCTATCACACTCTGAGGTAACCTTTCTCGCTGTCCACTATACCTCCAATTTTGGTGTCATCTGCAAACTTACTAACCATACCTCCTATGTTCACATCCAAATCATTTACATAAATGATGAAAAACAGTGGACCCAGCACCGATCCTTGTGGCACACCGCTGGTCACAGGCCTCCAGTCTGAAAAACAACCCTCCACCACCATCCTCTGTCTTCTACCTTCAAGCCAGTTCTGTATCCAAGTGACTAGTTCTCCCTGTATTCCATGTGATCTAACATTGCTAAGCAGTCTACCATGACGAACCTTGTCGAATGCCTTACTGAAGTCCAGATAGGTCATGTCCACTGCTCTGCTCTCGTCGATCCTCTTCGTTACTTCTTCAAAAACTCAATCAAGTTAGTGACACATGACTTCCCAAGCACAAAGCCATCTTGACTATCCCTAATCAATCCTTGCCTTTCCAAATACTTGTAAATCCTGTCCCCTAGGATTCACTCCAACAACTTGCACACCACCAATGTCAGGCTCACTAGTCTATAGTTCCTTCACTTTTCCTTACCATATTTCTTAAATAGTGGCACCACATTAGCCAACCTCCAGTCCTCTGGCACCTCATCTGTTTCTATCAATGATACAAATATCTCAGCAAGGGGCCCAGCAATCACTTCCCTAGCTTCCCACAGAGTTTTAGGGTACACCTGATTAGGTCCCAGGCATTTCTCCACCTTTATTTTAAGACATCCAGCACCTCCTCCTCTGTAATGTGGACATTTTTTAGATGCCGCTATCTATTTCCCCACGTTCTATATCTTCCATATCCTTCTCCGCAGTATATACTGTTGCAAAATCCTCATTTAGTATCTCCCCGTCTCCTGTGGTTCCACACTTAGGCAGCCCTGCTGATCTTTAAGGGGCCCTATTCTTCTGGAATACTGCATCTAGTTCGGGTTACCCATTTATAAGAAGGATATTATCAAGCTGGAGAGGGTTCAGAAGAGATTTACCAGGATGTTGCCAGGTATGGAAGGTTTGAGTTATAAAGAAAGGCTGGATAGACTGGTACTTTTTTCACTGGAGTGTAGGAGATTGAGAGGTGACCTGATAGAAGTTTATTAAATAATGAGAGGTGTAGATATAGTTGATGGTAGCTGTCTTTTCCCTAAGATGGGGATTTTCAAGAATAGGGGGCATATTTTTAAGGTGAGAGGAGACGAGCTAAGAAAAAGACATGGGGGCAAGTCTTTTTACACAGAGGGTGGTTTGCATTTGAAATGAACTTTCTGGGGAAGTGGTGGATGTGTGTATAATTACAACATTTCAAAAAAAAATTTAGATAAGTACATGAATAGGAAAAGATTTGGAGGGATATGACCCAGGTACAGGTAAGTGGGACTAGTTTAGTTTGGGATTATGGTCTGCATCGATTGGTTGGACCGAAGGGTCTGTTTCCGTGCTGTATGACTCTAATTAAGGCTTGTCCAGGATTTGCAGACCGTATAAAACCACGTGTGCAAAGAAGCATAGTGTCGGTATTCTCCAATGCTTTCCTCATCTTCGATTTGTTCAAACCGAAGACACCGGCTGCGATGGGTGGGGAGGTTGTATTGTGCGTGGAATAAATTCTGAGAACCGCCCTTGCGATGAACCCGGAAGCAGGTGAGAGATTAAACAGATGAGAAAGAAGGATTTTGGCCTTACGGGTTTCCTGAAGGGAACAGTGTTCCTGCAGTCCAACGGGCCACACTCACCTGGGGGAGGGAGAGAGACAGAGAAAGACTCACCTGAGCCAAGGAGAAAGAGACTTACCTGTGGATGCTCACCTGTCGCTAGCCGGAAGTGTTGCTCTGATCATTGGGAACCCTCTCAGCGCTGTGTGTGTTGGAGATATTTCTGCTTGAGCTTCTCCCTTTCCACTTGCCCTTTCGCTGTGTGGGTGGTCTGCTCCGGGTTTCCCAATGGCAGCATTCCAGGATCCGGGCCGTTTCCAGGCGGTGGATCTGAGCAGCGAGGCTGGCACTGGAGCTCAGCAGAGCGCTGGGCTGGAGCGGACTGTGCTGACCGAGGGCAGAGACGGAGCTACAATAGAAACCGAGGGCAAGCTGAGTGATCAGGCTGAGAAAGATAAGGCAAGCCCAGCTCCATCACCTCCTGCTCCCATGGACTACAAACTGAGGAAGTTCTTCGTGCTCCGGGTAAATTACTGTCTCGTTACTCTTCCTAATCCACACGCCCTCCTCTTCAACATTTGGAGAATACGTGGGGGCCCCAACAAGTCATTGGGGGCTTCAGAGTTCTAGCCATTTGCTTGAACTGTGTGGAATTTGGGAACTGGTCTGCACTGGGATCCCAATCTTTGTGTTAGTCACAACTTTCATTTATATAGCGTCTTTAAAACCTCCTGAGACTTCTCATAGGAAGAACAATATTAGTGTGCATAAGGTGGCAGGTTTTTTTTTGGAGAGTCCTGATGGGGACGTGAGGGAGAGACGGACTGGAACCTGTAGGGAGGGGATTTCAGAGTTTAGACCCCTGGAAACTGAAGAGATGGTATAGAATTTATTGTATTACTGGTTCATGAGATGTCAGTGTTGCTGGCTGGGCCAGCATTTATTACCCCTCCCTTGTTGTTCTTTAGAAGATGGTGGTGAGCTGTCTTCTTGAATTGTTGCAATCCGTGTGGGGAGGGAGTCCCAGGATTTCAAACTAGGGGTGGTACAGTGGCTCAGTGGTTAGCAGCACTGCCTCACAGTGCCAGAAACCTGAGTTTAATTCCCCTCTCAGGTGACTGTCTGTCTGTGTGGAGTTTGCACATTCTCCCCGTGTCTGCATGGGTTTCATCCGGGTGCTCCAGTTTGCTCCCACAGTCCAAAAATGTGCAGGCTAGGTGGATTGGCCATGCTAAATTGCCTGTTGTGTTCAGGGATGTGTAGATTAGGTGGATTATAGGGGGATGGGTCAGTGTGGACTTAATTTGCTGAAGGGCCTGTTTCCACACTGTAGGGATTCTGTGGTTCTATGAACAATTATATAATCCTTTTCTTTGGATTTAAGTACTCAGTTTGTACATGCTGACATGATGAGCAGGAAAAGACTAGCTCATCTTTGCATAACAGCTTCAAAGGAGGAAAGATCCTGAATTCCATTCAATTTTAACTTTGCAGACTTGGGAACAATAATGATCCGAGTTACAAATGAAGATGAAAGAAAACTGTGATAATATGGTGGAAAGGTCTAAGTGTGGCACAAAACAATGTCAGTGAATATGAGATGACATACTTTGGTTTGGCATGTGCAGTATTTGGGTACATTGGGTTTTACAGCAGAGAAGGAGACCATTGATGCCATGGCCTCCAATGGTTCTGTGAAATAACTTGCCCATAGCACAAAATGTGAATGTAGGTTCCATAAGAATCAGCACTAGGACCGCTGTTCTCCACCCCATATATTGATGATTCAGACTCTAACATCGATGGTAAGACTTCAAGATTTGCAAACAACACAAATTGGGAGTGAGGTTAATGGAGAGGAAGAATGGGACCACATACAGCAATCCATTAATTAACTTGCAAAATATCAAGAAACTGGGAAATTAAGAGCAAGGAAGTCGCGTGAAATGTTCATAAAATATGAACTAAGCTTCAGCTTGCACTCAAGGAAGGAAAGTCTGACAGTGGAAAGGGTCTGAAAAGGAGTTTGAAGAAAATGGCAGCAGTATAAATCATAATGCATAGGTGTAAAAGTTGACCATTCGACTCATTGGGACTGTTCTATCATTTTAGCAAGATTAAGGATTAATTCGATAATCCTCGACTCCATTTTCCTGTTTTAGCTCCACAATCCTTGTTTCCTTTACTGATTAAAAATGTATCTATCTCATTCTTGAATATACTTAAACTTGACAGCCCTCTATGGTAAAGAATTCCAAAGACTTACTACCATCTAAAAGAAAAAAATACTCCTCTCTGTATTAAATGGGTGGCTCCATGCTCTGAGATTATGCCTTCTGGTCATAGAATCTCCCACAAGAGGAAACAAACTCTCTACATCTACTCTCTTAAGTCCCTTAAGAATCAGAGATAGCAGGAACTGCAGATGCTGGTGAATCCGAGACAACAAGGTGCAGGGCTGGATGAACACAGCAGGCCAAGCAGCATCATAGGAGCAGAGAGGCTGACGTTTCGGGCCTAGACCCTTCATCAGAAAAGGGGGAGGGGAAGGGGGTTCTGAAATAAATAGGGAGAGAGTGGGAGGCGGATAGAAGAGGGATAGAGGAGAGGATAGGTGGAGAGGAAACAAACAGGTCGAAGAGGCGGGGATGGAGCCAGTAAAGGTGAGTGTAGGTGGGGAGTTAGGAAGGGGATAGGTCAGTCCAGGGAGGATGGACAGGTCAAGGGGGCAGGATGAGGTTGGTCGGTAGGAGATGGAGGTGTGGCTTGAGGTGGGAGGAGGGGATAGGTGGGAGGAAGAACAGGTTAGGGAGGCGGGGACGAGCTGGACTGGTTTTGGGATGCGGTAGGGGGAGGGGAGATTTTGAAACTTGTGAAATCCACATTGATACCATTGGGCTGCAGGGTCCCCAAGAGTAATTGTAAAAACAATGCTGAAGCAGTGGAGAAGGTGCAAATATTTTAAAGGGACAAAAAAAAGGAAATGAAATCTTTTGATGGTCATGGAAGATTAAACAGGAAGGGACTCTTTTCTTTGGAAAGCTGAGGGGTGAACTGATACAGGTTTTTAAAATTCAGAAATTACTTGGTAGGGAACACATAGAGAAGTCATTCATAAAATGAGGGTTTCTACTCATCCAATCAGAAATCCAAGAGAAACTTCTTTATCAGGAGACTGGTGTTGATATGGAAGTTGCTCCCACAGGGAGTGGTCAGGATGAATCATGTCAATTTATTTATGGAGAAGCTGAACAAACAAGTGAGGGTGGAAGATATAAAGACACAAACATATGGCCAGTCAGCTCCTTGAGCTTGCTCTGCCTTTCAATAAGAAAATGGCTGATCTGATTGTAGCCTCAAATCCATATTCCCTGATTATCTTTCATCCCCTTGCTTAACAAGAACCGGTCTATGATAACCAGGTGTGGAGCTGGATGAACACAGCAGGCCAGGCAGCATCAGAGGAGCAGGAAAGCTGACGTTTCGGGTCTGGACCCTTCTTCAGAAAATCTAGACCCTCTTCAGAACTGACCTATGCCTGCCTCCAAAATTATCCAGGAATTCTGCTTCCACCACCTTTTCTGGGAGTTTTCTAAAGACTCAGGACCCTCTCAGAAATAACTTCTGAGGAAGGGTCACCGGACCCGAAACGTTAACTCTGTTTTTTCCTTCACAGATGCTGCCAGACCTGCTGGGCTTTTCCAACAACTTTGTTTTTATAACTTCTTACTTCATCTGTTTTAAATGGTTGACCGATGATTTTTAAAGAGTCACCCCCCCCACCTCCAGTTCTAGATTCACCCATAAGAGGTAATGTTCTCACCACATCTACCTTGTCATGATCCCTCAGGATTTTATCTGTTTTAATCAGTCACCTCTTAGTCTTCTAAACCCTAAACCTGTCTGTCGTTTTCTCGTAAGACAATCCATCCATCCCAAATATTGGTCTGGTAAACCTCCTCTGCACTGCCTCCAATGTATTTACAACTTTCCTTAAATAAGGTAACCAGTATTATGCGGAGTACTCCAGATGCTGACCCGCTGTGCACTGTATAACTGAAGCATAACCTCTCTACTTTAGTATTCAATTCCTCTCACTAAGCACTGAGATTACCTCCTGGTCAGTTCGGGTATTTAGATTTAAAACTAGCAGGTAGAACGAATATAGAGTCAGGACTCTGAACCGTGTGCTGGTTTCATAACCACACTTTTTAAAATCTGGGCCCATTTCCCTTTCATAAAGTTATTTTGATCCTGCCTAATTACTTTATGGTTTTCCAATGGCTTTGTTTCAACTTCTCTCATGAAGAGTTTTAGCATTTCTCTGATAACTCGCCTCTAATTTTATTCCCACTCTCTCTACTTTCTTGAATAAGTGTTATATTCACTTATTTTCAATCTACTAAGCCCATTCTAGAGCTCAGGGAATTCTGCAAGGTCAGTACATTCACTCGCTCTGTAACTAACCAACTATTTTAAAACTTTAGGATAGAGGCCAAAATTTTAATTCCATTAATTTCTTCAATACCTTTTTATTAATATAATTACTTTAACTTTGTCACACATCAGATGATTGCTTCTGATATTAGTCTTTGTGTCTTGCACTGGAAAGACAGACACACAATATCTGCCATTTCCTATTCCTCAATGTAACTTTTCCTCCTTCTGCCTTTAATAGGCACAAGTTTGGTTTTGTAGCTGTCATCCTGTCAAAATGTTCAATTTGTCGCTCCCTGATGTACTGTCATAGAGTCATAGAGCCATACAGCATGGAAACAGACCTTTCTGCCCAATTAGTCCATGCCGATCATTTTCCCAGATTAAACTAGTTCCACCTGCCTGCACTTGGCCCATATCCCTCCAAACCTTTCCTATTCATGAATATATCCAAGTGTATTTTAAACGTTGTAACCGTACCTACGTGCACCATTTCCTCTGGCAGTTCATTCCATATATGCACCACGCTCTGTGTCAAAAAAAAGTTGCCCCTCATGTCCCTTTTAAATTTTTCTTCTCTCACCTTAAAAATATGCCCCCTAGTTTTAATGCCCCCTCCCACCACTGTAGAGAAAAGACCTTGCCCATTCACCTTATTGATGCCCTTGATGATTTTATGGACCTCGACAGTCACCCATCAACCTCGTACACTCCAGTGAAAAAGGTCTCAATCTATCTTTTCTGAAAAAGGGTCCTGACCCGAAACATCAACTTTCCTGCTCCTCTGATGTTGCCTGCCCTGCTGTGTTCCTCCAGCTCCACACTGTTATCTCAGCCTATCCAAGCGATCTTAACTCAAATCTTTCATTCCCTGGCAACATCCTGATAAATCTTTTCTGAGCCTTCTCAAATTTAATAATATCCTTCCTAAAGCAGGGTGACAGAACTATACACAGTACTCCGGAAGAGGCCTCACCAAAATCCTGTACAACTTCAACATAACATCCCAACTCCTATACTCCAAGGTCTGAGCAATGAGGGCAAACATGCCAAATGCCTTGTTAACCATCCTGTCCACACGGTGACAC